CAGTAGTATAGCATGAGTAGTAGATAGTAGACTAGTTTAGCAGTAGTATAGCATGAGTAGTAGATAGTAGACTAGTATAGCTGTAGAAAGTATTTGCTTCTTGGGGACATAATAATTCACCTATTTCTAGTGTTGTTATAGACAGGGAGAGGAGCACCCCAAGACCCCCAAATCTGCCCACTCTAAATAGGTTCTGTCATCTGCTGCATCATAGCAAAAACTTATAGATCTTTAATAGAAAGGAACTTTATAATACAATTAATGCGCAACAAAGAAAATAGTTTTTGTTACCAAAAGCTGGTCTCTGTTTCCCTCAGTCAATAAAAGGAAACAGAGTTTGAGGAAAAGGAAAGTGGCTTTATTTGTCGACAATGAGGAGGGCAGCAGACTCGTGTCTTGAAGACCACCGTCCTGTGCTTTGGCAGGCTGCAGGGCTATTTATACAAAGCTAAACGAAATGGTGAAGATGGGGAAGGGACTGCAAACATGGGGAGCAGGCGTCAACACGGAGATCGATCCAGGGGTGGGTACCAGCTTGTTTTTTCTCATGTGCTGCTTGACTCCACTTTCCTTGGAATGCAAGAATGTACCTGTCAAACAAGGGAAGAGAAATTGCAAGGCACAGGGAAAGGCAAACTTGCTGATGGTCATCTGAGAAACCAGGCCAGTCATAAAGAACACAAACTTATCAAAGGAGGGGGAAAGACAAACTTAGTGCTTATCTGAGAGCCCACTCTTTGTAACTGTATCATTTTCAAGTCAAGCACCCGAAGTTACCCATCCCCTCATGGGCCCAGTCAAACAGGGTTGGCCCAAAGAAGGGCTTCTGAAACCAGAAAGCCCGCCACAAGTCCAAAGCACCATCTGGTGGAGATCCATAGAAAAGGGTCAGAAACAGCCAGCCAAGTCTGGGAGGAAAAGAGCAAAATCAAAATCAAGAGAAATGCTGCCATAGTCACCTCCCCATGGGTCTCTCACTCACATCTGTTTCATTCAGTCCAGAGCCAAGAAACAAGCATGGTTTCTTCACGTCTCTGCTCCATGTGGCTTCCTCAGGTCTCCTTCTGGCTCTCCCTCCTTTATCCTTTCTTTCTCAGTCTCCTCTCCAGCTTCTTTCTCCTCTCTGCTGAGCTCCACCCTCCCTGGGGTGGGTCAGGAAACATGGCACCACCCCTTTTCCTGGGGATCCGTTGCAGTATCATCTTCTGTGACAGTATCATCTTCCCTGACTCCCGTATCCAGGGCCTTGGAAAGTGTAACACAGACTCATTCTCTGTATGAACACGAGTGCAGATTGTGGGTTTTGCTTTATGAAACCAGCCTTGTGTTGCAACCAAGTTTTGGGCTTAATTCCCTCTAACTTTATTAAGTTGGCACAGATATTGCCATGCCTGTGTGTTGCCCAGAGGAGGGAAAACAGAAATAGGGTGTTTTCACTTCTGTGAAAACCTTTTAGTTATCTATAAAGGTTGGCTGCATCTGAGAACCTTTCTAAACTGAAGGGGGAATAGGCACAGCAGCCTACGAGTATCATCTGTTTCCCTGGGTGGTTTATGTTAAGGCCTGTATCACTGTGGGAATCCAGTTGTGATCCTGCATACAGTAATAAGTTGCAAAATCTTCTGCCTCCAGGCTGCTGATGGTAAGAGTGAAATCCCTCCCAGACTTACTGCCACTGAAGCGGGAGGGGACCCCAGGTTGCAATGTGGAAGCAGAATAGATGAGGAGCATAGGAGTTTTCCCTGGTTTCTGCTGATACCAGGATAATAAATTGCTAACATCCTGACTGGCCCGGCAGGTCATGATGACTCTGTCTCCCTGAGATGCAGACACGGAGGATGGAGACTGGGTCATCTGGATATCACCCCTGGCTCCTGTATGGGAACAGAAAACACACCCACTGTTCACCCTGTCACCAGAGGACTTTCCTGAGGTCAGGGATCCTGACCCTGGGGCTGGTCCCCTCCTGGGTTTCCTTCCTCACCTGGGAGCCAGAGCAGCAGGAGGCTGAGGAGCTGAGCGGGGGCCCTCATGTCCAAGCTGGGTCCTGCCTGCCTGACACTCAGGGGCTGGGACAGGTCTATTAGTAAGTGTGTGGGGAGGTGGGCTGAGGCCTGGGAGATGCAAATGAGCAGGGCGGGGCAGGTGGGACAGCTGCAGGGTGGTTCCCCTCAGACCCCAGAGGCCTGAGAGCACAGTGCAGGGCCTGTGGCTGTGTCCCAGGAGCTCACAGAGAACCGGGTTCTCTTGGTGGTTACAGGGGCTGGCTGTCATAGGGTAAATGATACTGATGTTTTTTACCACTGTGCTCTCAGAATGCATTCTAGATATTTCCATAGATAGTGGTTTTCTTTCTATTCATGAAATAAAGCTGATATAGCTTATGATGAGGAACAAATCATGAAATGCATGTGAATATCTATGTAGTTGTGCCCAAAAACAAAATGGACCATTGCTAGGTCCATTATCACCTCTATTATTATTGCTTTGTTTGTGATTATTATTACTGTGTGTGTGAATTTTGTGTATGCAGTTCCTCTCTGTGCTCAATTCCTTTCAGTCTTGTATATTCATTTCTTGAACAAGATTCTATTCTGTCTCAGACTTCTAAGATAAAAAATTGAATTTTAATTTTATGGAGAGGCTTTTATTGATCAAGTAAAAATCTATTTTTGACAGTGTTATGAAGTAATAACTTTTATTTTGCAAAAATGTTGCACACAATTTTTATATTCCCTTTTGTTCATGAGTCTCAGGACAATGTCCCATCTGTTTTAAGTAAAACTATGTCACTTCCCAGGGACATGACATTATAATGAAAAAACAAATCTCGATATATCCAAAACTCACCAAAATACATCCAAAATACAAGGATCAGAAAATTACCAAAAATGGAAGATAGTTTTTGAGATTTCAGTTGTAACTTCAGGAACACCAGTGCTTACATGGAAGAGAACTTAAGTGCATTATGGAGAAGAGAACTTTAAAGAAAAACCCAGTTGCCAGGCTCAAAGAGGCTCAAGCCAGTGGTTTTCCCTGTCAACTGTAACATCTCCCATCTCCCCGCCTCTCACTGTTTCCTCCTTCGTGTCCCTGATATCAAAGGCAGTGGATGTTAACAGACCCAGGGGTGATGCGCCCTCGGGTCAGGTGTGGTGTTCATTCCTCACATGCCAGCAGTCTCTGAGATTCCCTTCCCTGGTCAGTCTTGGGCCCTGGACTTCCTTTGATGGGGCCTAGCAGTCAGGGAGAGGGTGTCCATGAAAGGCTCTTCTGGGATCCCCCCTTTCACCCAGTGAGAGAACTGGGATCGGTGTCCTGCAATCCCAGTACTAATTAAGCCTTGAAAGGGCACTGTTGATGCCTGCAAGGACAGAACCCAAGTACCATCTGTCCCATCTGCACTCAGAGGTCCAGCTCTGGATTACAGCAGCAGTACGTCAGTACCAGTTTCATGAGGAGACGCTCTACATCTCAGGCACATAAAGGAAAAACACACCCATCCTTTCTCTAATTCAGGAACATTTCCTTTATTCTCAAGAAAAAATGAGGCGTCCGGTGAAGTGTGGAGGCCGTCGTCTAGAAACAGCCAACAGGCCCAGGGCCCCGAGGGCGTCTGGGCGGGGACTGTTGCACGTGGTGTCGGAGCTCTGCTTCCCAGTGACCTGCGTGCTGGCGGTCTCATCGTGCGCGGACAGGGTGAACCACAACCTCTGTACCTGTCTGAAAGATGATTTAGACACTGGCAATTAATGAGGTTCCAATTTCCCCTACTTTTGCAGAAAAAACAGATATCAGAGCAATCTTCCTCACTAGTTCCTTCATCTCTGTTTCTGTTATGAGTATATGTGATACTCAGAATTTATTTTGACTTTGGTGTGTCTATGTAGAAAAATATTTGGCTCCTCTGGGTAGTGCTGAGCTGGTTTGCTCTGCCCCAGCCCCAGAGGGCTCTCCAGCCGTGGACTATGTTGCTGTGGACTGTGGGGACACAGCTACCCAGCCTGCATTAGTTCTAGATGTGCACGGAACAGATGAACAGATCGCCACGCCACGCGGCCCGTGTGAGCAGAAGTGCAAACATCTCCATACAGGTGCACACACCGGATTTACCCTGCTGACTGGGTCATTTCTGTGGCTTCTAAAATATCATCACGCAACTTAATGTTCTAGGTGTTAACAGGCCACTGCTATATTTTTCAACTTTACCATCCTCAAAACATTTTCTACTCCATTTTGGCTTAAAATGAAAATAACGCAGATGTATTTTTTAAACAAAAAATTGTTCTTTGTGAATATTGGTCTCTTTCACTGCAGTCATCCATCACTGAGTTGGTGCTTCAGGAATCACCCATGGCCCCTGGTGTCTTGTGGAAATCCACGTTCTCCCAGTGCATGGTGTCAGGCCACCAATTCTCATTTCTACAGTCCTGTTAGTATCACTGATGTTGCTTCTGGCAGTTGTTGAGCCCAAGGTAATTGCACATAAAGAACAACTGTGCTGCCTGGCATATTTTTCACATCTTTAAATCAAATTTACTGACTTCTCATTCTTTTACAAGATGACAACATTTCAGAACCGCTCAGAGCGTGGCCTGTGTATCAGCCTCACTCCCCACACGAGTTCTGGCTCCATCTCATGGTAACATCCAGCCTCAGCCCACTGGGCCCTCCCTGCTTTCCTGGTGGTGGAACACTGTATATTTCACTTTCGACAGATTCAGGTCCTCTCTATATTTTTAAAATCAAGAACACCTTCTTAATGTCATATGGTTTTTCTATACTTAATTACATATAGAATTCTTTCTTTCAGGTTTTCACTGCTTGTCTGTTACTTAATGCCACAAGCTGCTCCAGTGTAGCTGGGTCATTCCCTAACTGGGAATGTTTTTAGAACTGGGCAGCAGTGACCACACAGGCTCCAGCTGTCCACCTCTAGTCACTACCGCCCTCTGAGTTCCCACTGCCTATAATCCTCTTCCACTTGTGATTGCCCGTGCAACTGACCAAGGAGCCTATCCTGAGCCTTGATATCATCCTCAGCACCTGTGTGACCCGCGGGATAATCACCTGTGAGGAGCAGGCAGCTGATGGCACCTCTGCCCGAGGCTTCCTGGATAGGCCTGGGCACAGAACGGCTAGACAGCCTGTGTCTCCAAGAAGAGATGCGTTTACTTCTGGGTGGAACCAAGAGGATCGTCCCCTTGTGGTATCCTTCCTTGATTACCACATCTCATGCCATAGGAAGGCTCTATTCAGACTTTAATTATATGTATGCACAGTTCATGCGTTGAATAAAAGTGAGTGACTTTTGCTGTATGAAATCAAACTGGGGCTATAACCAGTTTCCTTGGGTTTAATTGACTCTGTATTTACTAAATCAGCAGATACATTGTCATGCCTGTGTTGTTGATCTGAGAAGAG